GATTACTACAATAAGACTAAAGTTAAACAGGACTTGAAGTCACTTATATATATCACACCATCCTTCAAGCTTTTGGCTAGTAATAACTCAACATCCTTGAAAAATCCACTGTCACCATGTCGGGACGTCGAATAACAGTATATACAAAAAATATCTATGATCCAAAACGGTTAACAAATATCTTTCTACATGTTGATCAACTTACTCGTACGGATCAACCATGCAGAGACAAATGACGTCTGATCCCGTCGCAGTCAAATAAATCTGTCTGACAATAACCAGTATTGGTCTTCATCGAGTACAATTCACTTCTGATGTCACTTACTATGAAGATACTGACAAAATTATACGAATATATCACTTATTTTAAATTAATACCTAATTTGGATACATGTCAAGAATAAGATTCGATGCCGTACAAAACGAAGTTGGATGGGGGAATGACTTCAAGCTTTATTTTTTCCCAAGCATTTGTAATCCATCCAACATATACTTGGATCTTTTGCTATTGCGGAGACAATATATGTATACTCATGTGTTTCGTTGGATGACTAGTTAGCAGATTGTTCCCACAAACCAAAGACAAAATGAACAGCAACCGTGTAATTTCACCATAAACGAAATCTATGTCATTTAAATAATACTTATCCATGCCTGTAAAATCGGTGTGTCCCACATAGACAGGAATAAATATATTATTATATTGGCATCTCATTATTACATGTGTCAGTTATTTATTCGGCTTTCTTTGATTGAGCACTGGGGCATTCCCAAGGGCGTGGTAAATGATATGTCTGTTTGACTTACATCTTTCCTTCTTCATATTCAAGGGGACCTCATAGGTAGATGAGCAAGCGCCCCTTTGCTGGCCAGAGCTAGGAAAATTTCCTACCTTATTGGCGTGGCCTTTGGTGGCCATCTTGTAGCGGTTCTCCAGCAGTTTCTCTCCCTACTTACCCATGTTCTATCCGCTGTCTCCACTTGGTTCTCGTCTCCATATAATGGGCCCAGTAAAGCCCCAGTATAATACTGCCAATGAAAATAAAAATCGGTTTCTTAAGGAGAAGAAAACTGAAGTCATGGCGAAATATACCCAAACTCACAATCGGTTGAATAAATGGATGCAGTCTGGGAGTGTGGTTTGCTAGGGAAACTTGGTTGTCACCGCAATTCCCAAATCTTTACAAGCATCCGAAATCAAAGACAGTGATATTAGTATTTTTTGCCACAAAGAGTAGAATTTTTAAGCTCCTGAGGTTATGGAGCAGTTACTTGCATCTGGTATAGTTTCGCTTGATTTAGTGGCTCTGGCATTTGAAAGTGGATCTTACGAGTTTCCACACCACAGGCTAAAATTCTCTGAAATACATCACAGCCCCGATGACAGTGAGTACGATTTTCCCATAAGGAAACCAGTGTCATGGATATCCACGTGGTGGTTGCTAAAAGACGTTGATTTCAGCATCCCGTCAGCTTACTGGATAAATATCACAATGTACTCATCAAGGGATTCCTAGAGCCACAATCTGATGAAATTTACCATTTTAGTAGTTCTGATCCAGCAAATGAAGAAAGCTACTTGCAGCTGCTGTCAGCACTCATCTTCGATCTTGTACCTAGTCTTCTGAAAGTGTGAGTATGGGAATCCCAGGCAACATTTTCCTCCCGTAATAAGTAGTGGTCAAGATATGCCTACATTTAGGTTCACAGCTGCCTCATCATCCTATGACACAACAACAGATCTACCAAATATGTATAAATCCAAAATAAATGGCATAATTTCTACCGACTCGTGACAGGACCCGAATATAATGGCGGAATCTCAAGTGAAGGCCAAATGTAGTCGATCCAAGCAACCCTTTGCCCAGGTAGCCCAGTAATTCACTCATGGTCTTTCCCACAGTGTCGAAGAGCAAAGTGGTGGATCAAAGAAATTTACCGATTTAACTGAGCCTGAGCTATTTCGCCTTCATTGGTCAATTCGTTTATCTGTGCTGACTGAATAACACTGCTGACAAATGGATCTTCAAGGGACTACAGCTCGGTTTCTGCGTAGTGGTATGGTTGTGTTTTTTTATATTCTCTTTAAATCATCGCTAATGAGAGCTTCCTTTAATGGCCGTAGGCATCAGATTCTCCCTTTATCAGTAAAGACGGTGTTAAGAACACTCTGGCTACAAGGCTAGGTGAGCCAGGCTGACGAGCCATCTGGTTGTAAGGCGAAGGTGCCGTTTTAGATAGACGGGCGGCTGCACAACGATTATGGATATCATTTCTAATCAAAGTTAACCAGGAAACGAGCTAAAAGCTTTTCAAGCAGCCCAACTAAATTGCTTCTCCGAGTATAGACTTTGGCAGCGTGGCAGGTAAACGGGAAAGATTCTTCTGACGTCCAATAAAACATCCTATTCCGATCACTAGACAAATTAGACACGGAAATCAGTTTAACCTGATAATCTTCTCAGAGGGCTTGTAGCTCAAATATCCGGCCTAAAGATTAAGATCTCCCGGCTGTCTCTATCACATGTGGTGATACTTAGCACATGAAGTAATGCGGTAGTAACCCCATCCACAATGGAAGGTTTACGCAATTTCTTTAAACTTCAGGCCGATTAGTTACCACTAGTACCTTGATCAGGATGGTTCAAAGAATAACTAGGTAAGCAATCATGGCATTCTTGAAAAACAACAGGTCGTTGTCCAGCTTACTGCACGGTTTCTGCATCAACCAACTGTATTTGATCAACCTTCTAGCAGGAAGGGAAAGCTAAGTTAGGTGCGTTAACAACAAAATTAGACCATTGATTTCATAGATTTCAGCAAACACTTCGACTAAATGCTTGACGCAAGACTGATCGGAAAACCGAAGAGCTCTGAAATCAAGGGCGGCCTACCAAAATGGGTTGAGGGATCCCTCGTATGTAGGAGGTAGAGAGTCAACTAGAAGCTTCCTTCTGGGACAGTGGTATGTAGTGGTGTGTCTTGCGCTACTGTGGTCGGCCAACTCTTGTTAATCCCGTACAAAACGAATTATCAGGGCTAGCCAAATCTTCCATGGCTACTTGCTCAGGCGACCTGAAAACTTTCGGAGAATTTACGAATGACACTGACATGCTTCAGCGGAAGGTTAAATTGGCCCAAAGAATGGATGATTTCAATCAAAATGGTGCATTGCTCATGCAAGTGTCAGACCATTTGATTTAGACAGAATGCGCTCCCATTAGTTCAAACAAATATGAACTTAGGTGTCATATTTAGTAGTTGCCTAAAAATACTGCGGACTGCCTCGGGGCGGCATCTCAGTTTTAGATTCTTATGAGCATTACTGAGGGACCCAGCCAAAATTCCCAAATAAAATATTCACCAATTTATATAATTCTCCGGTGAAGTCAAAACTAAAAATCTACATCTAGACATCATCCGTTGTCTAAAAGGTGACTCATATTCTGGAAATAATTCAAAGGAAGGCTACATGCGACATCCCGGTATGACCAGTTTACCATATGAGGAAAGATTTAACGGTTCAAATACCTTCTTAGCATTCCTTAGGCGCTGTGAAGATCACATCATGATGTTAAAAATTCTACGAAATGACTACGGACGTGGTCTTTCCTCTCTTTTCCTTTCCTTCAGGTTGGGAATTCTCAAAAGACACAGCAGGAGAGTTTAAAATACAAGAAGCAGCTATATTAAAGTGCTGGTTCTCTCAGTGAATCACAAACTCTTAGAACAGATTACCAGTTGTGTCTGCGTCCTCAGTCGACGCAATCAAAAAGAAAAAAGGGATGATTGGCCTTCGAAACAAGCTCTATCATGAACGGTTTTTGGAGGCTGAGGGTGTTAAAGTTCACGGATGGTACGATTTATACCTACGCGAGATCTAATACCCACAACTTCTACAGTATCCTTTCTGCGTAGAAAATGGGCAAAGCAAAACACCAAAAATGATCGTCCAAATGACGACGTATATTTCTGGACCAAATTCGTAGTGCGAGGAAGAATACCTAACTAGGTAGGGATCGTGCACGAACGAAAGAAAGTAACATGACGTCGTGCCAATTGGTATGGATGCTTGACCGTTAGCCTTCAGCTAAACAAATCGACTTGAACAGTGAGGGTCAGCATCCAATGTTCAGTGATGAATGCTATGGCTAATAATTTTGGCGAATTGCCTGCCTCTGCAGGCAAAGTAATTAGGCCTTTCCACGCTTAGCTACTGTCGGCTTAGGGGATACTTAAGTACTGCCTATAAGATTACAAATGACCGGAATCACCAAAAAAGGTATTCTGCCATTAGATACATATGTGCTTCCTCCTGGGAATCCACGGATGAGAGCTTACCAGAGGGCAAAGACTCGAGTGTGCTCCCATTTCTTTTCACTTCAAGTTTACCGTCCATGGAACTCTTTATCGGCAGATGTAGCCACTGCACCATCGGTGGTCAGTTTTAAGTGAAGGCTGGGCAACCGTACAGAGATACAAGGACTGCATTCAGACGGCCTATTCCCCTAAAACTCATACAGCTATTGGGTATACTGCTAAACACGCCTTTTTAATTCTTCACATTCTCCCTTTTCTTACTCTCCCGACTACTCCAACAATTGCATCCCTTAAACTGTTATTATTGGTATGTGCATATATATCTATCAATTTCAGATTTCATTAGCTGTTTAAAACTACATAATCTGTGCCAATTATTAATTATTACTGTTGCTGTTTTGTCTTGTTTTTCGACCACACCAGACGACTAAAGGGTGAAAGGGCCGACTCCATTGACAGTAGCAGCACGGTCTTGACACACCGCATACGACAAACTACACACAATTTATCCCAGCACCACTCCTTTTGGAGTCAACCACAGCTACGACTGTCGAGTAGTTGGCAGAACTACGCAGTAGTTTGACAGAGATAAGGAACATTAGCTTCACAACCAAAAATGATCAAAAAGAAATCAGACTGGTTTACACTGGCTCATAAAAGCGATACTGGATATTGAGAAGCACGGATTTTGCGGCAAACTGAAAATTGGGCGCTACATTTCTGGTTTTTTGTTTTCCCATTAAAGAACCGACGCAATGAGTCCTGTTGTAAGGAAAGCATCGCATGCTGGCAGTTGGTATTCAGCGGATCGTATGTAAAATTTGATATTTTCTTTTTAATGGTTCTTAGGTGAAAAACTTAATTCTCAGCTTCAGAAATGGCTGTCTGATGTCACGATAAACCGGCATTCTGCCCGCGCAGTTATTTCACCGTATGTTAATCATTTCTTATGGAATATAGCTTTGTAGTCATGCTGGATATGATTACTCTGGGCCTTGTGCTGCGTTCTCTTTCAAACAGATTGATCCTCGTCATATGTATGTTCCAGATATATTGATCATTTGTGCAGCAAAAGAGTTTTTGTTCTGGGTCCTGCACATTATATGAGCCTTAGAAATAAATGTGCTCTTTCTACTGCGGATCTTTTCGAGACACCATTTTATTCCATCCCTATTGACAGAAATGGTGAGTGAAATTTTACTGAATTATATAAAATCTTTCAGTGTTTCAAGAGCTGTCGAAGACTGGTGAGTTCACCGATTTGCCTCTAAGTCGAGATGAAGAAGAACACTCGATAGAGATGCAAATGCCGTATGTAGCCAAGGTAATGGAGGGGTAAGTACTTCATCTATATTGCGGTCTTAGTCATTATTAGGATTGTGTAACAATGGTTGAGAGATGCCTGCTTTGAGAGAGTTCATATGTTAATAGAATAGGGGCCCAATAAACCTCTAACTTCGATTATTTTGGGCAATCATAAGGCCAGTTACATATGTAAGTCTTCACTACACACCATTGCGCAATAATAAACTGACCCGGTTGACTTACGAGTCATGGCTCCTGAGAATGCTAATGGATAAGAAATAAAGATGTTATACAAAGTCATCAGAATACATTTAGCGTGTAATTTGATTCCTCTAGACTGATTATGTTGTCATTGTAGGATAATGAACAGGATATATGCTCTGTGTAAGTTGTAACCAGTATTTATCACGTGCTAAATCACGAATTAGTATTATAAATAAAGTTCGTTTGCCATCAGACCGCATAGCTTTTCTGATGTATTTTTCGGGGTACACAACTAGCTAGTTGGATTTACTAGCGTTGTATTGTTGCGTAAGCAGCATTCAGGTTGATTAAATTCACAGTTGGTGTTACTTAGTTACTAAGTGAGGAGTTATTCACTATTGAATATTGTTAATCAGATGCCTAATGTGAAGAGAAAATTCGCTATTTAAGACAAAATTGCTAGGCTGGTGCTAACATGTATTTCTTGCATACACAATACATATACTGACGTTAGCATGCATATTCTCATGACCTGTAAATCATGATTCCCTTCTCATTATATGATGTAACTCACTAGTAACAAAATATATCCACAGATTCGTCCCTCACTCTTTCTGCTTCGTTCGAATCTAGTTATTTGATGACAATACTCACTGAATGAATTGATATTTTGACTTTTAGTTTTGGACTATAGACGAATACGTATACTTTAATGCCCTACTAGTCAAGTTTATTTTACGAAATTCACTAATATAGTATTGGGCAAATCGGTGTCGTCTTCTTATGCAAAATAACTTGAGGAATATGAAAATAATAGACTAACCAATCCACAACTGACTCCTGAAGATAAGGATTCAAAGATATGTTCACTGGAAATGCATTGGTTAGACACTGCACGAAAGTTGTGATTGAGAGTTAAGGTTTTTGATCACTTAACATTCTGTTAGTATCAGACTCGACTGGAAAGGGTTTTTTCAGAAACACAGCAAGTGCATCTCTAAATTCTCGGAAGTATGATTTGTTAGGTGTGTATGAATCGATTGCTTAGGGGTTGAACTTATGCATAAATTGCATATAGATTGTACCATAGTTTTTTCGTTCGTCCGAAAAACTTTTGTATGGATGGTTTTTTTCTAGCTATCAGGGCCGATACACCGTCGTACCGATTTTAGTAGGATACTTAACTCCTGACAGAGAAGCAGTGTATGGTCAAATCTTCTCCCAATATCTTTCAAACCCAGAGAACTTCTTCGTGATCTCGTCAGACTTTTGTCACTGGGGTATGTTTTGTTTCATGTTTTTCCTCTTATTGTATTATAGTGCTTAATAATCATAATGACATACTCTGTCACGTTCGTTAAATGTATTTTCAAGTGCTTCTATATTGTGATGGATCAGAAAATGATTTGGAACAACGGTAGCTGTAGCCCATTGATCTAAATGCTCGATTGCCAGCATATGGACTACAGACTTTAGCCCTGCTCTATCTACTAAAGTTTGGGGAGTCACTTGCTACCACTAACTGTCACGCATTCTGTGTGACTCATTGCCAGCTGCATGCAACTGCAAATGATTGTTAAGTAAAATTTCATTCGAGGGATTCAAGACCGAATCTTACAGGGCCGGCATAAATCTACGTAAATAGTATTAACCATTCATTAAACTATTCGTAATGTGTAAGTTTAAAAGAAACCGCAGTTTGATTGGTTTCCGAAAAAGCACTGACTGTATTACCTACATGCTCAGTTAATTCGTCACTACTCACCTGTTGTACCTTGTTCTTCATATAGTCTTACCAAAAGCTTCGTTGGTTACCCGTCAGCCAAATGTACTTAGGAAAAACTAACCTGAAGAAGTCAATCAGGTTTCAGATTGGACGAAAGTACAGTGAATAATCCTCTACTCTTAGTGAGATTCTGGTAGAAAAATATTTAAACCGGCATCCAATATATACCATATATTCTGACCTCAGATTGGCACTTGACCCCACTGATCGAAGGTGTCAAAGCAATTTTTCGTTGTTAAGGGGCGTAAAGAAAGCATATTATGGTAATCAGGGTGTAGAGAGTTAACAGTAATAAGGGTGAATATCTGTTAAGTCTGCCCCATGTTATCTTGATGGAGGTGACGATAGTCGACCTCGACACCCCGGGAATGCGTCTGATACCAGGAAAAGGTCTCAAGGATCTGAAGCCTATTGATATCCGTTAGCATGAAGACACCGAGAGACTACTCTTCTGTAAATGAATTACTGGCCAAAATATAAACCTTACAACCATGTGTAAATATCTGACTATTATTTGCAGCCTGCATGTATATGACCTTATGTTGAAGGTATGAAATGATTTCACCGCCGTTTTTTATCCATTTTCAAAGTTCCGTTTCCGTAGCAGCTGTTACGTCAAGTAGTGTTTACGTAAGGCAAATAAATATCCGAGTTAGACCGTGGGAGATCATTAGTATAAAAGGTTCCCTGAGTTGATTTTCAGCTGGTTATATGGTATGTATACCAAACTAACACCTTCCTCAACGAGCAGTTAGCTGGAGTAGAATTAACGTGGAAAATAGTTGGTCGTCGTCCAACCAGAAGGTGAACTTTTGAACTGTTTTTTCTTTGCTAAATAGATTGAGATGGGTTGTTTAGTTGAGTTCCTTAAGATGCTAGAAATTGCTGGTTGCAGATACTACGATGTTAGTCATAGATGTTGAAAATGATGCAAACATTTTCCTTTTTTATCAACACTGAAGCTAAGCATCACTGCATGGTTACGGTCTTCTCCCTACACCGTTTTGTCACTGTAGCATCATTACTTTAACGTTTTCGCCCTTCATATCTATTGCAGTGTGAACTAGTGCACTTTAATATAATGTCCTGAATGATGATAATAATCATTGGCATTTTCTTGTAGTTGGGATAATGGCTACTACCTGGCTGCAAAAACGTCGGCAGTGAGGTTAGGGTTCGAACCCGCACCTCAGTGGTTGCAAGTCAGGCACATAGTACAATAAAACATAACTTTCATGTTGATTTGTTTATCTGAACCCTACCCAGGTAACTGACACTTGCTTTGCGGATATCAATCAGTAGCCAATTGCATCGTAGTTTGGTACCATGTCTGACTACCTATTTCTTCCAACTCAATTAATTTATCCTATTTCCGCTGGCAGTACACGCACAGGTAGATAAGTAAGCAAATGCGAGACATATACTCACCCCTTGTCAACCTCCAGATTTTAAAATCGATCGCAAGTCTCATTTTAGTTACGCCCATATTTCTTCGTCCATAGAAGTTCCATTACTTTCCTATTGTTCATTTGAATATGTGCATACGAGTGGAAACTAACAGTGATGCATTGTTATACACAGTACTACGATTTTAAATCGGTCACATCACACATATAAAGCCAATAAGATTAAGATCTCATGCTGCTTTCATATTTGTGGCAAAAAGTGAAAAGCAGACGAACACATACAATTAGCTGCTTGTAATCTTCCTTTTATATGATATTAAGAGCCAAAAATTCAATGTAAAGGAAGTTACTGGACAGTCTATAATGAAGCCTAACTTCAGAAGCTATTTGGTAAATTTGTTTATATTCGAAACCAGATGGTATATTTTTAGTTGTATTCCCTCATAGAATTATGGCTTTAAAAGGTTTGAAAGTTTTTCAAAGAATAGTTTACACCTACACACACTAGACCCACTTACTGCCATTGTATGAGACAGAAGTGTAGCTGCATAATACCTCTAGAAATCGTCCCTAGTATTGTTCACTTATATATTTTGATGTAAATGATGGCTTATTGCTTTAGAAATATAGATGTGGCCTAATTATAAATTGCAAGCGGTTGTGTAACTTGTTATTCATGCATTAAGCCTTTACATTCTAAGTGAGCTGATAGGTTTAGATTTGTACGTTTTTACCTAGCTGTAGTCGTCGGCTAATCACCTATTAAATATTTTTACATGCAAGTAATGGTTACTAACTTTCATTGTAAGGTCTGTTACAATTTTGGATTTTTAAAGACGGTTTTTTGAAAAACCATTTTCAGAAGATGAAACATACAGTACTGTGCAAGATTTCTGAATTTTTCCTCAACAAATTAACATAGTGGTCTGAAGCATTCAAAACCAACTTAGTATTTAAACTAGTTTTCTGCCAGACCAAATATGTCAGATATTATACATCACAAAGGTAAAAGTTAGACTTAAAAGAAATGTTTCCTTCTTTATAGATTTGCTTTTTTATTTGCAGGGAAAAGATTCCAATATACATATTACGATCAATCCAAAGGAGCTATCTGGCAATCTATCCAGGCCCTTGATGAGACAGTAAGCATATTAAGCTGTATTATTTTCTCCTACTTATCGGAACAGGTTTTAAACTAGACATTAAGGGATTTTTAGCTCAAATGGATGTTTAGGTTGATATGTTCTCTAGGCTAAATGGTTCACTATCGAAGTTTTTGTCGTCGTCTTAGGTAACGCGTCAAGCTAAAAACCTCAAAAAGAATTCTCATTCTCCCCAAATATAAAGTCTGTCTTTCCTTGAGTGGTTTTCTCCGAAGATTCTTTTTTCCTTATGTTCACTTACGTTGATAATGATGACTTGAAGAATACAATATTTAGTGAAGAGACGCTTCTCAACGAATTCATTGTCAAGCTTTACAATCGTATATGTGCTGATTAAGAAACCATATCCTAGGAGGAAATTAAAATAAAAGGTGTGAATACTTATAATAACAATGTTAAATGCGATAAAATGCTTGCGATCATGACCTCAGTTCAACATCAAGCGTTAGAATCTATCTTATCAAACTTCTCATCATATTATGTTGTAGTCTTTCATTCACCAACTGATTCGATTAATTTTACATCCGTTTCCAAGATCTATATATTATGCAAACTATTTTCTCTATGGCATTATTTGTTTTACCGCTTAATATTAAACTGAGACTACAATCAAAAAGATTTTATCGCATTTCATATTGTTATGAGTATTTACGCCTTTTGTTTACATTTCTTTCCGGGATAGAGCTTCTTAAAAACTACATATGTGCACGATTATACAGCTTAATAATAAATTCGTCGAAAAGTCTCATCGGTGAATATTGTGTTCTTAATGCTACAGTGTAAATTATTAAACAATTTTGTTACCCTTGTGTTGTTTATTTGAATTTTTCTTTGCCTGATAGATCTGCCTTAAGTCAAATCGATTTCAGTGCTAGGCTTCTGTAAATTCTCCAGCCTTCCTAGTGTTCCATTTTTTCATCAGAATTGGTGTCCGTACGTACACTGACATTAAAGAATAATTATTGTCTTTTCTGTATGATCGTAGATGCTAGTATAATGTTCTTCATAAATCAACAGAAGAATTTGTACAAGTGAAAACGAGAAAAGGAAAAAACTTCAAAGACAACTTTGAAAGCGCACTTCTGAGGTAATTGCTAAAGGTATGATTTAGAAACATAACGAAAAGTTCGATATTGAATTATCTAGCTCAGGGAACATAACACCGAAACACTTAGTATTGGTAGTGCTGTATTTCGCAAGACAACTTGCAATTTGATTTCCAACAATGACGCAGAACAGAATACTTAAAAGTGTAATTTTAGTGTTGACGGTTTAATCATAGGGCTGCAAATACATGTGGTCAAGTGCCACCGCCTTCAGCCAATATTTTGTGCGAAATTTAAAGACACGAAAACATCCCTGGTTCCCTTAAAAGCGTTTTAGTTTCTGCTACACAGAATATTAAATACTCCCTGCCTTTCGTGTGACTGTGGTGCAAATATGTGTTGATAATCCCCCTAATTCCTGCTGTCTTCTTCACTTCCTGTTCATATTGTCATTTCTAATATTCTTGTAGTAATATACTTGAAAGACTTCAGAAAAGTTCGTGTATTTTTCCACGAGGAACACAACTTTTTGCATTTAGTTAGTTGGACCACTTACCATTAATTTTTCCCATATCTAAATTCTTACTCTAAGTATTTTGTATACTGGACCTGCTGCTTTTATATCATGGGATTTCAGGGTATGCAAATAATTGAGCGACTGGCCCCTTCGGAATTCTCTAGTTACCTGGAACAATATGGTAATACTATATGTGGTCGTCACCCGATTGGCGTCTTGCTACAGACTATAGCATCTTTGCGTACTAAAATGCCAAATGGTCGGTTCGATTTGAAATTTATACAATACGCCCAATCAGAACACTGTAACAATATGAACCAATCTTCAGTGAGCTACGCATCTGCCGTCTTGCAAATATCTTGACGTAATATAATTCCTCGTTTTTGTGTGCAATGGCGTAAGCACCCTGATGTTACTATCAAAATGAAAATTGGGAGTTCAGGGACAATTTATTTATTACTTTAATTTAAAACATACGTTCTGTATTCTCTTTGTATATTTAATGATTATTGACTAACACACATGCTGCATAGCTTACAGATGAGTCTTCCATTGTTTGACAACGATTTGACTGTGTATACTGCATGACTTTAAGCTGCATGTCGCCCGTCTTCTTTTGATGAATAGATGCCACCATATGTAACAATATGCCTATACCTCTTCTGCCGCATATTGTATTGCCATACTCCTCAAGATACTCCTTGAATCTTGTAGGTTCTAGACTCTGTATCGCCTCTAGACCCTTTAAAAGTAATAAATAGGTTTAAAACATAGCTAAACATTTGCTATGTATAGGATTAGATAATACAGTAAATACGTACCAAGTGATCGAGTTTCATAATGGATTGCCATATTTCTCCGTCGGATTCCTTGTAATATTGATATCGAAAGCGTTTTCCTGAAAATGAAACAAGAATGTCAACTTAAAAAATGTAATTTGTACGATATTACTGTTCAGTCACATGTTAATCGTTCGGAATTTTATTAAATTTGCTTCATAAATAATGGCATATTGCGCATAAATCATAGCAAAGTAAGTAGTATGAAAAATTAATATAGTAGAACCATCCTAAGGAAAGCTGTTGAAAGGGAAATTTCGCGTTTATAAGCTACAAGCAGGTGTAGGAAATAATCCTAATAAGGACATTCTTAAAACTAACGCTCTCCGTCATTCTCCTGCGTAAAGCATCAATTTCTGCTTGGCTACATAGCAAGATTGAGTTTTGACAGTCCTTTTATAATTAGCTTGTATTCATTCACTGCAATAAGTGCAAACTGCTTGCCTTCAAGGCTCAATGTAATGTACATGTGGCTAAAGAAATTTCCGCATGACTATTAGGATTTGGGATGATTGTGCACAACTCACTTTTTACGGTATTTAAACGATAATTTCAATCATTTGCTATCTTTGAAAAAAATGTTTTGATCCACACATGGCAGAGCGCAGGAATATTATAAAGCTTCTGCAACAAGCGTCGTTCATTTAAACAAAGCAAAAGAATTTGCAAGTCATTTTTTCTTAGATTATGTCATTCATGTTTCCATCACTTTTATTTGTTGAACGTTTAAATTCTACCTTTTCTCGTTGGTGTCTATCAACAATACTGCATAGGAAGTCAAACATTTTAATCTTACCATCATCTACTCTTGACCTATATGTTCAATATATCGTATAATTGACTCGACTATTTATACATTTAAATGAATGTAACAGAGTAGAAACAAGACAAAAAATTACATATTTCTTTGGGCTGTACTGAGTGGATTTACAGTAAAACCTTACTCCGTCAAGTGTTTTATAATAACAGAGATGAATTCCTTTTTAGAAGCAAAGGAATATCCTGCAGATGTATCTTCTCTGAATGCACAGCGAATATATTAAGATACATCTACATCTCCTTGCACCAAGAGTCATGAGCATGTTTCGGACTAGTTTCAGTGGGTTGACAATGCAAGAAGTAAACGCCTTTCCTATGTGTGAATACTGACATATTTTTAATTTACAATCTCTGGATTCATATACCATATAAATATTCCGTAGGTGTTACGAGTTTCACAGACTAATTTGGGTGAGAGGCATAAATTCAGCATTTATGCTGGAGATATTATTTGAGACCAACACATTTATAGTCAAATAGTACATAAGGTAGAATTCTACTTTACATCGTCTTTCCTGTTCCACTACACCAATGTTCAGCTCATAAAGATCCAGTTAGGAAGAAACTCATAAATTATTGAATGCCTAATACATGGCAGTCACTGTCTCAGTTTAAGGAATATTCTGAGTCTGTCGGCTAGTGTCCGTAGTTAAAAGATAATACCCTGAACATAAAAATAATGTGGAAATATTTAAAGGTAGAACGAACCCCAATGACAAAAGTCTGAAGATATCACAAAGATGTTCTTTTCGTCCTCAAGGTAATGTGATAGCAGGTTTCCGAAGAATTCTTGTTTTTTAAACGACAAACCACCAACAACTATAGGAACTATAGTATATTGATCCTTCCGGCTTTAAAACAAAAAAGGTTAGAATGAAAATCATGCATTTGAGATTTAAATTACACCAATGTTCAAATAAACGCGCTGAATGTATTGTAGCACTAACACGCTATAGACAGGATTCACACTCTGACACTTTAAAATAGTGCTTTTTAAAAATTGAAATTCTAGGAGTGCAGTACACAATGAAATGACACTTGCCTATTTAGCTTTTAGCCATTGTGTCGCACTCATTTTCACTTTCTATTTGAATGTTTACTCATGTACCACTGCAAAAATTTAATTTACTAGGGCTTTGAAACTGTGGCTTTACTGGATGTTGGGGTTCGCTGATTTTTTACGCAACACAGATCGAAGTGCGTGCGTTCGCGATGCTACCTCGAAACCCCTGAAGATAGGGTAGAGTATGAATATACATTAAAATATTTAAAGTCAACTGCGGTCCGAAGACATTGGCAGGCCAGAACGCATCACAAGCTCTATTGCGACGAGTACACTTTGTAGCTACTCGCGAAATTCAATAGAAAAGAGCCCTACGTTTTTTTACTTATGTTTAAGCAATTAAAAAATTTAATAAAAGTGCAAAACTGGAGACTTGTATTTTTAGCATACCACAAGCTACTGGTAACACAACTTCCTACATCCTTATTTATTAAACTTAAAATATCTAAAGCGAGTGATGTGTTAGTCAACGAAAATTTTAAGTCCTGAGGTATAGGATAGATCAAATAATTGATCATGGAAATAAAGACAGTTAAGTTAGCAACAAATGTTTAGTCAATAGTAAATATCAATTCCGCGCTATATGAGGGTTGAAAATAACCACGGAATTCAAGATCAATTGATTTGTACAAGTTGCCACATACTCAGTAACTTGTAAGGTAATGATTAAGAAGGATAGATGAGTGAGTTGTGTAAGAATACCAACATACAGACATGTACGAATTAGCCAAAATAGTAATCATAATAAAATTTTGAAAAGTGGAATAACAGCGTCACGTGATAGTCATAAATAATCGGTCGCCGGCAGGGTCGGACCATGTGCATGGTTGGGCGAGAGTCCTAACCACTGTGCCACCGACGCACAAGGATAGGTGAAAATCAATCGTAAGGCTACACGTCCAGACTCAGTAATATTCTGATCTGCAAAGCAAAAGCGAATAGCTAGTGAGATTTTTGTATAAACATGTTTTTAAGCACCAAACGGAAAGTGCCTATAGTCAAGAAAAAATTGTTATTCCTCGGGCTACAGTTTTACGGGAGATTTTATCAGTAAAACTGAATCCTAGGAAGGACTTTGAATGCAGCTAAGGCATGTTATTTATTCACCAGTCAATGAATTCTTAGTTCCCGAAATAAAGATGAACAGCCTGATTTCACCACTTCCAATTATTTACCGGTTTAACTACCCGTGTAAAGTCAACTAAACTGAGCGTAGGACTAAGCAAAAGCATCGTTGAATTTCAGAAAACCAATCATGTTGGTCAGACAAAGGACGGGGTAAGGCGATAAGTACCTCTATACTAGCTCACGCTGTCGGCACATGATACCAAACCGAAATTAGCACAGCTTTTGAAGTTGTCCATCGTGTTCCACTTGGTTGTCATCATGCTGTGCAAATTCAACTTTTGCATGCAACCGAGTCGGTTGAAATTAGTGTGAATAAGTCAAATGTATTCAAAAGGGATTTTTACGTCCACTTTTGCTGTATTCGGCCTAATAATACGTATAGTCCTACAAATGATTTTCACCTTTCCTTGTAACTATCACGTGACGCTGTTATTCCACTTTTCAAAATTTTATTATGATTACTATTTTGGCTAATTCGTACATGTCTGTATGTTGGTATTCTTACACAACTCACTCATCTATCCTTCTTAATCATTACCTTACAAGTTACTGAGTATGTGGCAACTTGTACAAATCAATTGATCTTGAATTCCGTGGTTATTTTCAACCCTCATATAGCGCGGAATTGATATTTACTATTGACTAAACATTTGTTGCTAACTTAACTGTCTTTATTTCCATGATCAATCATTTGACCTATCTTATACCTCAGGATTTAAAATTCTACTTCACTTGCATCGCCATATAGTTGATAGAATTGTATGTAAGACTATATTGGTGGGAGCAGCTGTTGAGGAATGCATTTCTCCGGTGAATTTGGTTTTTAAAAGTTTTTAAATAGGGATTTTTAAAAGATTAAAGTGAAACAACTACAATAAGGTGTAGAGATTTTGCACAAAAATAAAAGTATCATATTGAGAAATACCTTTTCATAACATGAGCGATATAAGGCAACTGCATTTCTATAGAATGTTCAGCTTCATCTTGGCTCTTGGTAATAACTCCGAAGCAATTTTGACGTTTAAGATCATTGTATACTTCGGAAATGCTGATCAAAAACTACTCAACTTACTATCGTGATCAATTTTTAGATTATAAAATGGGGTCTCGTATTCAGACACACTTGTTAGTGCGCATGTATCGCCAATCGCCAAATGATGTGACGGACCTAAGATAAAAACACGTTCTCTTTAAAAAATAATATAATCTGAGTTTTGCTTACATATTTTCAGCATTTATTTGCCGATAAGCATGCGCTGCACACAAACCAGAATGTCGATATCCTGCATGACTTTATATTATAAGTAAAGTAACTCAACATACGGCACTATAAGCGCCCGGACAGTCTTACGATCTGAAATATTATCTTGACAGCTTTCTAGCCAATTGCTCAACTGTGATGAGAGCTGTGTGCCTAATCAAAGTTAAGGAATGCCCAAACTCGCTTAACTATTTGATGAATACCAGCTTCCAGCATGCGATGTAATCCGAACAGAATCCCGTGACATGTGGTACCGAATGAGGAGTTACTTGTAGTCTCTAGATATCCGTGTACAACAGCAATGAACCTAAACCCAAGTAAAAAAAACAGGTAAATTTGTCGAACTTAGTAATTATTAAAACTGGTGGATAAACATAAAATAACGGATGAATGTAACTTAGCACTACTAATCAAACAATGAACTGTACATTTTTCGACTGTCAAGCTGCAATAAGTCTCTGGACTACTAATTTTCTACAATTTCAGAGTGGCATATGTCGGATGAAACACTCATGTTAGGTTGGACCCTCCAAAATGAATTAGGACTGAGTTGGAATGAAACCCACGGCGACCAAATGAAATGTGAAACTAATACGGAATGCAATAAACCACAGGAATGTAGTGTACATGTATGGGAATGTGCCCTTAATGCCCCCTCCTTAAGTACCTATAGTGCTGGAGGTTCTACACTATAGTTGCATATTCGTAACTTAGGAACCGTTCGGAATGACAAGAGAACATGTATACTGTCACGATCTCGCCTCATAATTTTATTTAGCCAGTAAATTTGCATATACATATGTATATATATGCAAATTTACTGGCTAAATTAAAGGACATAAATTTACCAAACTTACTATAATGCTGAGTAAAATCTCGCTAATTCTGAACTAACTTTCTATAATGAGTAAATTCTGAAATCGTTTCGAAATAGTTTCATTATGCGCACAGATAAGAACCCAGTGCTGGTTATCAACACGGCTGGCACTAATTTAGTACCCTGTGCTTTTCTAGGCATTTTCTTAAGTAGCCCAGAACCTACTGGTTTCGCAGTCGACATTGTTTCAGCACTGACTGACATCAATCCGGATAAAAAGACTAAATTCAGGACAAAGTGGCAATTTTTCAGCTTTATTTCAGAAATTAAGGCATTATTTCAGCTGCAAATCCTATTTTTAAGGTTTCGTAGCATCATTTGAGCGTCCTTTGTTCTATTTAAGAACAACCATTGGCTTTTCAGTACATAGTGAGTTCATTTTGGGTACATAAAATATAATTATACCATAAAAAGGTATTATCGACGTATAAGTAGGAGTTAGTTTAGAACTAATGTAAGCTTGGGTCAGTCTAAAATTGCTCAGTGTGTTATTCTAACCCTCCTAAATTAGAGCAACTAAATGACGTTATTGATGTTTCTCAGCTTCACCTTTGTGTGTATGCAAATGAATCAGGGAGATACGGTACAAATAACATACAGACTGCGCCCCCGGACGTATTATCGGCGAACCAACTGTTTGCTTTTAAATTTCCGCCAGTGAGGTGACCTAACTTGGTAGTGCTTTTGATTGATCAGTAGTATGCTTTAGTTGAATTTGTGACTAAGTCACTTTTAAGTACTTTTTTCTTTTTAGAGAGCTTTTCAACTTCTCGTTGGCAAATTTATGGAGAGCTGGAGTGAGACTGCGCATAAGTATTCGTTTTTGAATATATGTAAGCATGGAATTCCATATTTTTAGCCTAACCCTAAACCCTGCTAGGTAGTTGTGAATCTACTTCAGTTGAAGCGGATAATCGTAATCCTGACACCAAATATGCCCTTAGAATTGCACTTAATTCAGAAACCCATTGGTTCTAGCCTTCGTTTGTTCTGGATGTATAACATTGTATAACTGGACAGTTGCGTAATCGCGGTATTCGTAAGCGTTATGCAAAACCCCGGCCTTACCCTGCTCAAAACAATAATTCTGTTTTTTAGCATCAAACAGTTTGACTTCTTTCATGTCGCTACTATTATCATCGTCGTGATTTAAATTTTTCACCTCAACTGGTCTTTTTCATACGACTTGGTACCAATACTTTTACTGAATAAATCCTTATGTATTTTGTGCATTTTATACGAACATCTAACGATTACGCATATAAATTTATCATATCCCTATGGACTGAGTGATTTTTAGTGCCATTAGCTGTCCTTTACATGATGTGACTGTACATTCAGAAAGTGAAGTTGCGGATAGGAAATATTTCTTCAAAAGAGACTTCTCTCTTCTTGGAACATTATTAGGAACTCCCTCTTCAGGGGTGGGAAGTTTGAAAATTCTAATTTAGAAAAGACTACAATAACCTTCCTAATACTACCTTTTGGTTGGGAACCTCTACAATACAAACGTAATCTGGTTAGATGTCTGGTTCACCGGGTAGAATTATCTGTTCTTATGAGACAGTGAGCGAAGAACTCTGTAATATTCGTTATCTACTGAGTAGAGACGGATATCCGACTAAATTCTTGAAAAAACATGAAATCAGAAAGTGAAATGTCGAATTTCTGAACACCTTCCATCTTGGTTTGGCCAAGGTTCAATTAAAGCTATATGCAGCCCAATACTAGCTCATCTCGTCGATACCGAGGATCAAGTAGATTTTAATAAAGCTTTTAAAGTTACATATCGTATATCTCCCAACCTCCTGCGTGATCTACGAGTACAGCAGAGGCAGTCGGAATTCATCTGAACAACCCAAATTTGGGTGTTCAAAAGAAATTTGTACAGCCCTTTCCTTTGCCATGGCCATACACAGCACGTACGTGCATAAAGTCTTCTGAAAAGACTTATTGCTTTACCTGACTGGTTATTTCTTACAATTGTAGCTAGTTCTATTAAACTTGTTTTTATTTCACGTAACGCTTCTGAGTTATTTCATTTTTTAGTTATCATTATTTTACAAATTTCTTGATTATATAATAACTTATTGCTGATGCCTAAGGATTAACTTGTCTCGAATTCTGTAATTAATTTCCACCCCTCCTTCAAAATTTAGACATCTTGTTACTAACATCTATTAGTTAATTGTTTTGATGACTTTCAGCCTCCTAATTTCACCCCACTATATCTATAACTGATTAACTAAAATAACCACTTGATTGGTAAAGTTTTAATGTATAAAACTGTATATCAGTGTAGATCCAATGATAAGGAGCTATTTGGAGAGGAATATATTTCTTCGCTAAGTGTTTTCTTCCAAAATGAAAAATCATTCGGATCGGGATTCTAGTGTTTGGTTTATAGATTTCGACTGAGCTTCACTCTGAATGAAGGCAGTGATTGGTGAAAACATGTTACCGGGGAGGAAATATAGGTGGTTGCAAAATAGACTTGCCTCGTTTTGTTTCAACATACTAGAGTAGGTGGAAGGAAGTCGTTCAATTGTGGAGTCCTCAAAAAAAATAAACTTAACCAAATTTTACTACTATGTAAGAAATGAACATATTGTACACTACTTTGTTTTAACCATAAACTCTGTACTTTGAATTTTACCTCGGGTTTTGAATGAATATATAATTCTGTCTTCGACTCTCCGTCTTCTCCACCATCTCAACTCCTGTCGAACAATTTTAACCACCTGCTTTCTATCTCGAATTTTTACAGGAGCACCGTAGTTCCTTCCTACGTACTTTGGTCGACCTCCGGCAACGTCAACATTGGAGAATTAGTACTGGAGCAGTCTTCCCGCAGCACCTGGAGTCTATTACGTTTATTGTGGACTTTGGATCTTTGTAAACCCAAGTAACGAAACTTTAATATATTCTTCCCGTAACTAAACTGATTTGGTATTTTATTTTCTATTTGAATTTGGGTAACTAAGCTAACAGAGTAAAAGGTCCACCACAGAATTACTTTTGAATTTTCCCGGGTGGTTGTTTCGATGTGGTTCTGTATTATAATAATAATGATTTATATTTCGTGTAAGCGGGTAATTTTATAAGAAGCTAGCTCTGTAGCTATAATCTATCGTGGATGGAACTAACAGCACAAACATACTGACAACTAGTAGTATCATCGCTTCTCCAAACGCAACATCTGGTCCTGACATAGATCCCTTCACTACACCTTACATACGTATCACAAAACTTTAGGCACCAAGTTCAGCTTCAACACCTAATTCAGAAATAGAACGACTAAAGCTGCATTTAGAAGAGCTGAAGACTAAGATCCGGGATATAAGGTGTAGTAAGGCTATGAATGCAGGATCTTCAGAAAATTTGGCCAGCATAGATGAACTATCAGCGCAGACTGGTGACATAAAATTGCAGGTCTATCAACTTACACCTCTGAGCATCCTGACCAGAACCTTGAACCTTGGTGAACTTGACACAGAATCGGTAACCAAGGTAGACATCCTGATAAACTTCACCACAACGGAGTTTGTCAAAAGACCAGATACTAAACTAAATGTGACTGTCTACGATATACCAGATAATGAAGAGTTGAAAAAGGTTCAAAGCATCTTACTTAGGGCGGCGAAAATGCCTAACTCCCAAACAGTGTCACAGACTGAGAAAGAGTCAGCATCACCACTGCTGACCCACAGTCCTTCAGTTTGAAACACAAACAGAGGCTAGGAAATTCACAAAGTATCCTACTACAGGATACGAGCTACAAACAAATGAAGGTTGTAGCAGATAAGATAGCGATTGAAAGGCATGCTTACAGTCACATCGCTAAACCTAATGGTCAGAAGGACAAGACACTGCAAGACAGCGAAATAGATATCCTCACG